GACCGAGCCGCCCAGGCGCCCCTGTAGTGTCAGCTTTTTAAAAAACAAAGTCAAGGGGCGCCTGGGTGGCTCGGTCGGTTGAGCGTCCGACTTCGGCTCAGGTCACGATCTCACGGTCCGTGAGTTCGAGCCCCGCGTCGGGCTCTGGGCTGATGGCTCAGAGCCTGGAGCCTGTTTCAGATTCTGTGTCTCCCTCTCTCTCTGCCCCTCCCCCGTTCATGCCCTGTCTCTCTCTGTCTCAAAAATGAATAAAACGTTAAAAAAAAAATTTAAAAAACAAAGTCAAGTTCTAGACAGCCCGCAGATACCTCTGCATGTCTGGGGAGCTGCGTGAAGTTTGAAAAAGAATAATTCAATGTCATCATTTTATATTTGGAAATGGAAAGGAGGACCCTGTTATTTTCAAGGTTCGAGCTTTGGAAAGGGAAGCGGCTCAGAATCTTCTTGGCTGGCACAGATACCCTTGTCCCGTGGGTGGCCACACGACAGGCTCTCCAGGGAGCAGAGGTGAAGAAACCTGACATGCCTCACGGTCTCTCTCTCTCTCTGGAGAGATATATACACACACACTCATATATAGGTGTATTATTTATACACTGACACATTTACATGTATCTAATATGCACAGATATATTATGCTTATTACATCTCATATGCATGTTTGTGATATGCATGGTTAAAAAAAAAATCTGGCAAGTAATGAACCATAATGTGAACGGTGATTTTTCTCAGGGACGCGGGATCGTGGGGGGGTCTCCGCTCTTTATATACACGCTTGTAAATTTCCCCACGCGGGCACTAAAACTTGACAAAACTCTTTTTAAAATCCTGGGGCGCCTGGGTGGCTCGGTCGGTTGAGCGTCCGACTTCGGCTCAGGTCACGATCTCACGGTCCGTGAGTTCGAGCCCCGCGTCGGGCTCTGGGCTGATGGCTCAGAGCCTGGAGCCTGTTTCAGATTCTGTGTCTCCCTCTCTCTCTGCCCCTCCCCCGTTCATGCCCTGTCTCTCTCTGTCTCAAAAATGAATAAAACGTTAAAAAAAAAATTTAAAAAACAAAGTCAAGTTCTAGACAGCCCGCAGATACCTCTGCATGTCTGGGGAGCTGCGTGAAGTTTGAAAAAGAATAATTCAATGTCATCATTTTATATTTGGAAATGGAAAGGAGGACCCTGTTATTTTCAAGGTTCGAGCTTTGGAAAGGGAAGCGGCTCAGAATCTTCTTGGCTGGCACAGATACCCTTGTCCCGTGGGTGGCCACACGACAGGCTCTCCAGGGAGCAGAGGTGAAGAAACCTGACATGCCTCACGGTCTCTCTCTCTCTCTGGAGAGATATATACACACACACTCATATATAGGTGTATTATTTATACACTGACACATTTACATGTATCTAATATGCACAGATATATTATGCTTATTACATCTCATATGCATGTTTGTGATATGCATGGTTAAAAAAAAAATCTGGCAAGTAATGAACCATAATGTGAACGGTGATTTTTCTCAGGGACGCGGGATCGTGGGGGGGTCTCCGCTCTTTATATACACGCTTGTAAATTTCCCCACGCGGGCACTAAAACTTGACAAAACTCTTTTTAAAATCCTGGGGCGCCTGGGTGGCGCAGTCGGTTAAGCGTCCGACTTCAGCCAGGTCACGATCTCGCGGTCCGTGAGTTCGAGCCCCGCGTCGGGCTCTGGGCTGATGGCTCAGAGCCTGGAGCCTGTTTCTGATTCTGTGTCTCCCTCTCTCTCTGCCCCTCCCCCGTTCACGCTCTGTCTCTCTCTGTCCCAAAAATAAATAAAAAACGTTGAAAAGAAAAAAAAAAAGTTTAAAATCCCATCCAAACGGGGACTGTTGTTTTGGAGCACAATCTCTATACCGCGAGCCTCAAAAAAAACACATGCCTCTCACTGGGCAATTTTACTTCTAGAAACATACCTTCAAGAAACGGACGTGCACGGAGATTTATGTTTGAAGATGCTCGTGGAAGCAGAGCTAATCCTGACGCGGCCTGGGAAAATTGATTTATCTGACGATAAGGGCCGAGAAAATAAATGATGAGGTTGTCCGGGATGATGAAAAACCAGGGGAATAAAATCCGCGTTCTTGACCATCGAAAGCCCCGGGAGGAAGTGCAAAGGTACCGTTAAGGAAAAGCCCCCAGCGGTGACAAAAGAGCCAGTCCCGCGTGTCGCTGCAAGACTGTGGGAGCCCCGAGCCCGGATGCCACCCGGGTCTGTGACGCGCCAAGAAGCCCTTAACAAAAACTTTAGGTCGTGGAATCCCACACCGGATAAAGGCAATCCTGAAGGCTTATCTTGTGTTGCACATACACACACAGTCACGTTCATTTTACACACTATCTGTTCACTTAACACAAACACCTTAGGAGCCAGGCGCCCTTCCGAGGCCTGGGGACACGGGCCCAGCAGGAAAACAGCAGAGGCCCACACCCCTGTGCCCCTCGCACTCTACAGGAAGAGACCAACAACGAAGAAAAGAAGAGGCCAGCCTCGCGAGAAGGCAGCGTCCCTCAAGTGGGAGGCGAGGGGAGAGGCAGCGATCTGGTTGGGAAGTGGTCGCGATGACCCCAGCCCTCATCACAACGGGCACGAACAAGTGTCCCAGAGCCCCCGGAGGGCGACCCAGGACTGCCTCTGTGTGGTGACAGTATGGAAGGTTTTTATTTTCTTCTTCGAGCTTTCCCATAGCTCCCGAACCTTTGACATTGACCACTGGTCATACCTATAATTCACAGTTTGGGGCGCCTGGGTGGCTCAGCGGGTTAAGCGTCTGACTTCGGCTCAGGTCACGATCTCACGGTCCG